TTCATGTAAACCCAGAGAAGTCTAGGACATCGATCCCAGTTAAGCCCATGAGGAAAGTTGGATCATCACTCTGGAGTCCCGACAAAAGGTCATCCTCTATCGACTGGAACTCTCGCAGCATAGTTGATCCATGTGCTAGGTTTTGCGGGATTGAGCTATCCGAGATATATTGTTCACCAACAGTCCTCCAATCGGACGTATAATCAGTCGTATTCTCGTTTGACCGAGGGTGCAGTACAGTAGGTGAAAACGGCACAGCGGAGTCTACCTCACAGGCTACTCGTTGCTCCAGTGCCTGAGAATGTTCCAATGTGGTAAGCCATTCGGCCCATTGGCTGTAGTCAGATGCGGAAACCGAAGCTTGTACATCCTGCGTTTTGTTGGCCGTAGAGGACGCCTGATGGAGCTTCTCCGCGGCCTCGTTTGTTATCGACTGCACAGCCTCCACGAACTTCACCCCCAATTTGGCTGTCATGTTCCCACTTGCCATTCTCCGAAGGCAATCTAAACCAAATTTTACTCGAGCATTGTATCCTGAATCGCGTTCCGTAATCCCAGCCACTAGTGCCACAATAGTCGCAATACTGCATCCCTGGAAGTCGGTGAAGGAGAAACGAGTGATGTTGCGGGTTTTTGTCAGACCCTCAAATAGCAGAAGAAGCTTTCTGCCTGCCTTTGCACAATATCGAAATTGCCTCAAAGTAGCGTCGCTTAGATCAGGAGGGCGCGACGCAGGAAACATATGGCAGCGAAGCCTCGTTCGGGCGACAGTTACGAGCGAGACTTTACCTATAGTTATCCAAGCATAGTAATAATTCAAATAGAGATGGAATATCGTGCGGTATCTCGAGTCTTTGGGGTCCATGTTATCAAGCTTGAAGTCTGGCGGCAAGGACTTCTTCCATTGTCGAAGATCAGAGGCCAGGGCTTCGGATTCTGGCTCCTCTTCGGCTTCGACGATAGCGCCACTTGAATAAAATAAGTTCATATTATTCTATTAGGGTCGAAGCAACATACCATGTTTCGGCAATTCGGTCGAGGATCGTGATTAGACGAGTGTACGCCATCTGAGATTGAATATTGTTGTATCTTTGTAGGCGATCCAGTGCTGGGAGAGGCGATGGATGTGGCACTTTGATTACATTGACATCAATAGAGCGAGGCCTGCTTAGTTTGACGGTAGTACATCTATAGTGGTTAGTGAGGTTGGCGTTGACGATGGTCTTGTCACCTACCTCTCGAGGGAATAGATTGACCACCATAACCGACACCGGACCTCTCTCTCCCGAACATCAACTGCTTGATCCTCTGGGTTGAGATGGAGATCAAGTGCCAGAGCTTTGCGCAAAGCCAAGCCCATATAGATATAGGATGATCCAATGGCACTTCCTGGCATTAGATAGACACCTAATAGAAAAGGCGCTTGAATGGATCGGAGACAAGGTCGGTCAATCAGGTCGGGGATAAGCGTTTTGGCATGGGTGTAGAACACTTGGCCTAAATCATCATTATCCCGATGCAGACTGACTGCAAATCCTTCTGGTCTTTCTAGTGGCGTCCATTGGCTGCCTAGTGCGAATGTTGCCATTGCAAGACAGACAAAGCTCAAGTCAGATCTCAACGGCGAGGTGGTGTCTATGTAAAATTGGTCAATATCGGACAGCATTTGGCTCTGGTCAAAGTAGAAAAATGTATCTGTTGCATGCTTAATGCATACCGAAAGTAAGAAGTCGGCAACCGGTCGTGGGGGAAATGCATCAATGGCTGCATGTAAACGTGCCATCTCAGATGGATGAGGTGCCTTTGAACGCGTCATATGCTTGAATTCGTTAGTTAACATGAAACGAGAATCAAACTATTGATATGACTCACGGCCTGGATGGCGACCATATCCCTTTCTTCGGGAGTAGCATCTCTATCTAGCGAGAAAGCCTCCCTCAGGCGGGAGAGAATGTTTGGCCACGGGACCCTTTTGGATTGACCTGCAATAACATGTTCGGCGAGCCTTTGGGACAAGACTGATGCCGGAGAAAGCGGATCATTATGATTGACATTGTCTTGCAATAGCTGGGGTTGGCTGGTGCTTGATGTAGTGGGCATGCTAGGTTCGATGAGGTCACTAGACGCAGTATCTTGAACAGAAGCTGATCTCTCCCTGTCTCATGTTAGACAGATGTTTTCTCAAAATCATGGACTCACTACCTTCTAAACCTGCAGGTTAGGTTACTCGCAAAGCACCGCTGACATCTTCCCGGCATCACCTCCACACACTTGCTTTTTCTGGTCTTACAGCGATCGCATCTGAGCCAGTTAGTGGATACGCGTCATCTCGGGTAAATCATGCATACGCTCGGGGTGCTCTTTTGCGATCCTCGTCGGCAACCCGTCTTCTTCGTCGTCGTTTCGAGGCAGAGTCCATAATCAATTTGGACAGTTATCCGAAGGGCCATGGAGAGTGGACAGAGGATAAGAAAAAGGACAATTTCCCGAAACTCGGCAATTTGGCCCGTTATCTACCCCACACTCCCAATCATTGGCAATATCCGAAGAGATTAAAGAATACGAGATAAACGGGGTGGTTTGACCCACAACCCATATCTGGCTGATGAGTGAATTATGTGTCGGTTATTCGAGGAATGATACTACCAATCGGAAACTGTAGGCATCTGATATTCTTTCCCCCTATTTGCTGGTTTGCGTGCTTCAATGATTGCGTGTTCGGATACCGTTCGAATTGACAATCTCATCATTCTCATGGCTGCCTCCATCTCAGCTCCTAGCCGAGTAAGGGTCTTGCGCATTGTCATCCCTCTGGATCGCACTGATCCCCATAGAGTCCTGATACCATAACCAGAGCATGTCCTGTCGTTCCCGATCCAAGGCAAAGAATTGCCTACAAAGTTGAATCTCAGCCGAGCTGCGTAACTCTAACAGCCGGATTTCTTCGTCCCGGTTTTCCCGCCTCAGTCGTTGGATGGAAGGTAGCCCAGAAAAGACATTGGTGATGTTTGCCTCCACCCCACGTACCCGGGCGAGTGCACGGTGGAGGTTTTCCATATCAAATAGCAAAACCTGAAATTCCTTGAAAGGGGATGTGGGAGCACGCGGCAAGTCCAGAGGAATGGCGATCTCAAGGTAGAAACTGAGATCCTCCCCGTAGTACTGCACCAAGCTGTGTTGGTGTTCAGGAGATAGAGCTTCGAATGTCGTTTGGGCTTTTTGTACAGCCTGATCAGCGCTCTCTTCCTGGTCCCGCGCAAACCGAATCACTTTTTCGACAGCTCTCTGGATCTCTGAGTGCTGGGTACTGACGTTTGGGAACGTGTCCAGAAAGCGAGAAGTAGTCAGACAGCAATTCGTCGCATGGACAACCGTTTTCAAGTCATCAAGAGCTTGACGAAGCTCTGGAGCTAAGCATTGCTCATCAGTTGTCGACTAGGTAGCAGAGGAGAGATGTTAGCGTAATCATCCCAAAGTTATCTAGATAGTTAGGCTCATATAAACTCACTTCAGCCATCTCTGTGAAATCTTGAAAGACAGCTGTGTAAGACGGGGAATGAGGATAAAGATGGAGTGCTTAGGGAAATGGAGGCTTTGAGACACCTGTTTGTTCAGGCCAAAGATTGAATAAAAGTGTAAAACAGTAATCACCTGGGCTTTCACTTCTCTTCATCATTTCTTTTTCTCTCGAAAGCAGAAAGATATCGGAAGGTTGTGAAGTGATGTCATTTCCCTGAAGGTGAATTCTTAAGGTTGTAACTGCCCAAGTTGATTCCAACAACTCAACTTCCATTCACAACACTCATCTTCAACCATGGGGTTAGTCTATCCATCATCCCAAACATTACACTGCTAACAAGAAAAAAGCTACACCCACTATTATGCCATCCACGGCTGGGATACTCCTGAATGGCAAAACGCCTGGGCCCAGCTCATCCAGGATGTCCCCAATATCATCAAAGAAGCCCGGGTTCCTCTCAGCGGCCCAACCGAGGATGAAGACAGGATTACACCGGTGGTCATGGACTCTGAGAAAGGCATAGACCTGAACGGGGTTAGAAGAAATGCCCATGAACCCTTCATACTGTGCAGGCCGGGCGAGTGGACTTTCTGCAAGACTGCTCGAAAGCCATACGATGTTGTCGTTACATCCATCCTTCTCAGGATTTGGATGCTGGCACCGAAGAACCTGGATCTTGGGTATGCTACATGTTACATCCATCCAGATAATCCATGCTAATTATCTATAGCTCTGATGGTGGCTATGAAGACTGGGCCGATGCGCGTGACCTCTGTGCCACCTTGTGGCCTGGGGAGCATACCGATACCATGTGGGAACAGGATGTTGAGAGAAATGACGAGGAAGGTGAGGGTGAAAGCGGCCAGGTCAATTAAATTCACGGGTCTACTTTCTATGAGCCACTAGATTTGCCTATGTTTTATTCGGTGCTCGATGTGGCTCGCACTAATGACCTCGACATGTGCATACACGAGGTCATGAACTTACTTTTTATTTTTCTTTCAAGCTTCTACTAAGACGTACTTTAAACATAGAATCCGAGGTCTGTGGAGGTTCCCTAGGGTCAGCCTCGCCGGTGAAATATAACCAGACTCAGCATGTATGTAATAGCGAGCTACATCGGGTTAATGAGATCATCATCATCACATCATCATCATATAACCAGACTCGTTTCCTCTCGGTCCCGGTTCTTCCTGCCACAAGAGACCACGCAGCAGTATAAGTCCCTTTTCGGGTATCATTAATGCCTGGATGTTTGATTATCTTGAGGGCTTAGACCGCTTCTTGCAATACATAAGAATATAACTAAACAGACATTTAAAAAAAGACATCAATAAGCTGTAAACCAAGCTAAAAGTGGTGATATATAAACTTATATAGTGTAAATAACATTGTTTTTGCCTATAACTCTGCTTATCAATCCTGTTTTATGACCTTAGTTGACCAACTATTCACTCACCCAAACCAACAGTCCATTCAGTTAACCAACAATCCATTCACGTTCTTGCTGGTCATCCCAAGCGACTGGCACTAGATACCCTCCGTCTGGCCATTGTACAAAGCTGGCGATAGATTTGATTGTCCCTAGGGCTTCATATCGTGAATAATGGACTGAATCCTCCGTTGTACGCAGTGACACCACTGCACACGATCTCTTTGATCCAGGACGAGACCCTTCTGACCTGTGCACAATAATCCCGTAGGTTTCATTTGGCTCGAAAACAACAGGGACTTCGGTATTCAGCAAACATACACTCGGCATGTTGTCGGCATCTTCAATATTGTGCTCTTTGATCCACTGCTCCCAAGCCCGTTGCCCCTGATTATTGTCGACGTCAAAGAGGCCGAGGTCGAACACGATACGGGATGGGAACAGCCACGACGGATAAAGTGTGATCTGAAGTCCTCGAGGTGTAATTTTTCCTGGTCCGCCCGAGAGGTATCGGATTTCTTCGGTATATTGGCACACTTTCATTGCCCAGCGCATCCCCTCTTCTTCAAACCGTGGCCCAGGCTGGAACAGCACGCCTTGAGGAAAGTCGTCAATCAGGGTGTAAAACTTCCTCATCCGTTCATCGGAACCCTTGACCTGGAGAATTTCCTTCACGTCGAGATTGAGGATTCCCGCTAGAATGATTGGGCGATCGGCTGCCTTGCTGGTGGCTCGCGTGGCTACATTAAACCAATTCCATAGAATTAGTTGATCCTTGGTAATGTCGCTTTTGTCGAAAGGACTAACAACTAGGTTAACAAAACGTTCGAATTTGGATGCAGAGTCAATAGTATGTTTAAAGAAGGTGAACCAAACACCCATGGCGAACGTAGCAATCCTCTCCTGCATGACGGGGAGTTTTCCTCGGTCAAGCTTGGTCAGGAGTTCGTCGGCAATAGTGGCAATGTTAACTGCCTTGTCAGAGAACAGCACATACAGCCTGCTCTTAGCTGCCAGTCCTTCTTGAAGCGTCCATAACCGGCGCATCCAACCCGAACAGTGCAGCACTCTCAGGAGAAGCTCTAGATGACTTGTAGAGCTGGCGCTTACATGTCTCATCTCCGAATCAATGATCATCGTCCGGTAAGCTATAATCGGTTAGGTTACCACCTAAGATCGTCCAGTAATTTGTCAAAAGCGAGCACTGACCATCCACGTATACTTCACGAATGCGCTGAATCGCCAGGCTCCGAACGTCGGGCTGATGGGGTATGCACAAGGTGTCAATCCACAACAGTACTGAATCGCCTCTGCGCAGAGTTTGGCTGCCCGCGAAATGGGCAAGTCGAGCCGCACTAGTGTGCAGCGTTGCAAATGGGCCGCCCTCATAGCGAGGGACATATTCACCGCCAGTGAGGACACGCCTTGCCTCCCCGTAAAGGAGACTTAATTGGCAGTTCGGGAGACTGTTACCCTCCGTGTTGCCCAGCCCATCGGACCACACATGCGAGATGGCCAAATATTGCTTCCCGACGCGCTTGCTCACAATCTCAACTTTGAAATTCTGGTTATCGAGCTCGTCCTCGCTACCAGGTGTGAGCATCAAAAGGGGGACTCCCCCATCCCGGAGAATTGCATGCAGCTGCTCGACATTTGCCTGGAGGTGCGAACAAGTGCAATCTTCTTCCACGTGCCGAGTGACATATTCGCTCTCATCGACGTTGTTAGCCACACATTCTGTATTCTTGCAGAACTCGTGGGTTATCTTGTTCCAGCCAGGCTTGACACGCATTAACTGAAGCAGATACGCTGGGGTGTCCACTCCACCACCAGCCACGCGACACTTCGCTGCCTCCAAGGGGCACCATCCCTCTGCGACCATTCGCTTAGTCTCAATTTCTCCGGTGAACATCCATTGCCTAACATGATGGGTCTGGGTCTGAGGACCGTCTCGCTTGACTGCAACGTTCCAGAAAACATAGCAGACCAGCCGAATGGCCAGTGACATGTCATTCCGCACATAATAATCGCCATACCCGGAAAGTTGCTCGCAGACTTTATTGACAATGTCAACGGCTCGCTCGCCAAGTTTCCTCTTCTTCCATTCCTTGGCGTTGTCGATATATTTATGGAGATGCTTTGTCGTGATATACTGCTGGGGGTCTTCTTCCCTTCGCAGGAGAAAATCGGACTGATCCAGCTGGTCCCCGAACACATAGTGGAGCATGCCGAAGTAGAGCCAGCACTCTATTCCAGAGTGGAATCTCTGTGGGATTCGGCGTCGAGGGAACTTTTCAGCTCCTGTTTCCAATTTCCACCCATGGCGAACTGGGAACTGGTCCCAATTACCTCCATCGTATAGTGAACCGTTGTACTTGATTCGAAGAGGCCTCGGGGGTTCATCAGGGAAGAACACATGCTCCGCCATTGCGATTGTCTGCCCAACGAGGGTCTTTGACAGTCGCACTTTTCCAGTCAGATGAAGCCCCGCGCCAGCATAGCCCTAAAACGCTAGTCTCGTACTGGTTGGTCAGTTCCCATGCCAAGAGATTCTCGTATTTACTCTCCACGTTGTTGTCTCGTTTGCTGCTAAACTGTTTCCCTTGTCTTCATGCTTCCTATCTTCATATCCAGCCTCTGTTTCTCCAGCATGTATGTCCAGGCAAGATACAAATAGTAATTCTGTGATGTGATATGTTATTCTTCCTACGTCGTGGCATTCTAAGCCTTAAACACAACGAAGTCCTTAGTAACACGTAAAACTTGGAGAAGGTATATGTAGTCGCATAAACGATTATTCGGAGTAGAAAAAGGCAGTTGTTTGAATGTGAAAAGCAAAGTTTTGGGACACAATGCATGCATGCAATGACGGCTCTTTCTCCTTTGCTTGGATCAACAAGACAGACCACCACCTGCGGGGCAGGACTTGGTGGAAAACTGCCATATACCGGGGTATCGTACACCACTTTTCAGCCAGCTTGCGTCCTGCGCATCTGTTTGTTGAATTCTTTTCCTTTCGCCGCCCGTAGTAGCTGGCGTCGAATTTCCGGTTCATTGCTGGACCACCATTTTTCCTCCCACGGTTGCAGGCCGCCGCCTCCAGGAAAGAACTCTGGGAGCAGAGCTCGGCCAGCCCCCTTGAAGTCTAACTCGAGCTCCATCAGGGTATGCATTACCTTGAATTCGGCGAACACCATTGGTATCGGGCCTGTTTCGTTCCCTGAGCTCGAATGCATAGCAAGTCGGATCGGTATCCCCAGCATCTCCGGCTGACGCGGAGCCCCGGCCGTGATGAGATTTTGCACCATGCCAATGCCTCCCACTGCGAGTAAATACCACGCATGGTCCTGAATTCCCGTGCTGCTGAGGAGAAGCATGAGCCACATCGCTGTTAAGAAGAACGTCATCATGCGTGTAGTATTGCCAGGGCTCATCAGTCGTATCAATCGGCCCCTACGTGGCCGTCCCTCCCCATCCTTTGGCAACTGCCCCCCAGCCATGTCTTCCAAATCTAACCCGCCCTTTGACCCTAGCACCATGATCACATGCTGCATGCCATTACCAAGCGTCAATGCAACATCCTTGCGCTTGTCCAAGATTCGACACGCCCATTTCTCCTTCTGCCACTGTGGCAGCGCACCAGACGCGTAGGCCAGGATGGTCCCGGCTACAGTCACCAGGAAGATACTCCAGTCTCCGTACAGGGCAAACGGTGCTGCACCGATGCCTAGTTGAACCACCGACACGATGATTCCCAGCCAATGCACCCAGTCATAACCAGGTTTCGCCACGGGATAGTTTCCATCCAGCGCCCACTCGTAAACAGCAACGCAGAGACGCGCCTGGTGAGGGCTCACAAATTTGCGAGGATTAGGGTATATTTCTGCCGTTGCCGCGCCCTTCTCTGACATCTCCGTGTCTACGGCCCCGGCTTCCTCATCCTGGTACAAGACCGGGTGATTTTCCAGTCGCTGTTCCACTTCTTTCGGCATCCAATATTCGTAATTCTGAAACACTCGCCCTAAAGTCCAGGACCGGTTGAATCGAGTATACCCCGTGCTTAGGTTGATTACCCGGAGCGAAGAGTCAGGGCTCGGGGGCATGAAGTTGCCCTCGCTTTGGGCTGTGAGTAGCGCCGAGATGGCATACGATACCCATCCGAAAGAGAATGTGACGGGAGTAATAGGTCCGCCGGAGAGGGCTGCTAGAGCGAGCCCAATGACATCTCCGCCAATAATCAAGAGAATTGAGAACAAGTCCGATGGATTGAGGAACTGTGCGCGGAAGCTGGATGCTGCTTGATCCATACTGTGGTAAAGCTGAATTGTACAGCTTTGGTCAGCATGCGATGAAAGAAGGCTTCACCTGCAGTAGCGCTGGGGCTAAACTTCGCTTACATTACGCCCCGACTACGCCCGGACAGTGTCAACGTGGAAAATACGAGGATATCCACAATTCAGCACTGACCACATGCATAGTCCATTATAAGTCCCCAGGAAAAGAAAACTAGCACGAAAAATATGTCAGTTCACCCATCGAGATAGCTAGGTAGATAGGGCAAAGGACTGAACCCTGAGGTTTGACTATAGGAACAGGTCAAATTGAGAGTTGTAGCTAATAGGTGCATAGACCCTATGTGTAATATAGCAGTCGCCAGATAAGAGTACCTCTGTTCACATTAAAAAGGGACATGGTGACATTGATGACATTGATGATATTGCAAAATATCTACAATCCTTTGTGAAGAGAAATCCTCATGCGGTGGAATTGCGATGTGCTTAGTCATGCAATCAACAAAGGCCACATGTCGACGGAGAATTTGTAAATGCCTGGAGTTTGGATCTCGAACAGAATTCGATTGTCTCGGCCATACTTCTTGCCCACATTCTGTACTCAAACTCGAACTGTATCCAACACCGCAAGAATGCCAATCACCAAAAATCTCACACTGCCAAGTTCGGCGAAAGAGCTGGCACTGAGCCCAGACTCGAAATTATTCATTGCCTTCATATCTTCACCAGATCCAATTACCAATCAACCTTGGTGCCCAGACGTACGGGATGCCTTGCCACATATCAACAAGGCATTTTCCGGAGATGATGCACCAGAATTAGCTATTATCGAGGTTGGACAAAAGCCTGAGTAAGTTTATACCATTCTCGTGCCTAAACCTGTGATATTTTATTTCCAAATTACATATTAAAACCATGTCATCCGATACATTGAGCTGATATCTATCAGGTGGAGTAACCCTCGGAATGTCTACCGGACAACGTGGGGCACTAACAACATTCCCGCGCTGGTACGCTATGAGCAAGTCAATGGGAAAGTCACTGAGACGGGGAGATTGGTGGAAGGAGAAATCCTCAATAAGGAAAGACTCCGGGACTTCATCGTCTAATTTTATGTGCCCATACCAAATTGATTGCACTCGATATCTTTAAGATACTGGTCCGTTTGTTCGCCATCAAACCCAAATGCCAGTTGCATCACGCGAAACATGGATCTATCACCCTCTGAAACCTCGGAGTATTGTAAAACAGGCATAGATCCTACCAGTAGATACTATATATCCATATTCTGTCCATCCATAGGAAGAACCATACACTTCCCGAGGATTTCCTAAACCTTGAATCCACCGGGCATTAGAGTCTGGAAAACACCCCGACGATCATACTTCTTCGCAATAGCACGGAGCTTTTGATGGTTCTCGGCACCATAGCCAGGGAAGATAGACTGGAATCCAGCAGCATCACCAATATAGTTGAAGGCATCGTAGAGGCCGGCCTTCAGGGTAGCATTGTTAATCTTGTACGTTGTCTCTTCCACCCAGGAAGCGACAATCTCATCATAAGCCGAGCCAATCCACTCAACCACCTCCGCGTAGCAGAGATAGACCTGCGAGGAGTCCAAGCCGATGGCGTTCCCGCCACGAGCCTCAGAGGCCTTCATCCAGTCGGCGCCGATAGGTTGCCAGTCCAGCTGGATAGTGGAGATGTTGGCGGTAGGGATCTGCGCGTACAGCTTGGGGAGCTCGTTGAAGAAGGTTTGGTTGATGATGCTGATTCCGCTGAGGAGCTCCTTGTAGCTTGTACCCTTAACGGTTCCGGCGACGAATACGTCACTAAGTCTGGTTAGCTACTAGTCTATGGTCTTCTGAGCGAGGGATCGTACTTGATACCATCAACCACCACTACGGCTGTTTCAGCGGCAAATTCGGCGACCGTCTTAAAGTCAAGGGTGCTGCTAATAGCCGGGATATCGGTGAACGGCTTGAAGATATCGGGGTAGCTGATGGTGTCGCTGTCGTAAAACAGAATCACGGAGGCGAGATTAGTCTCGCCAGGCAAAAGGGCCGGTACAATGTGCGTCTTGGGGTCATGGATGTCAGATGCATAGGTAGCCGCGGCCTAATGAAACTAGTTAGTGGCCAATCCTAGAGCAACCAAGGACACCAATATGACATACCTCTAAGAATTGATCTATGTGCTCAGCGGACACGGTGTGCGCACCAGCCCAAACCTTGGCTGACTTGATAGTCTCCAGGTCGAACCGGGTGACGATGCCGAAGTTACTACTCCCACCCTTCAAGGCCCAGAACAGATCCGGATGGCTTGTCTTGTTAGCTTCCACGATTGAGCCATCGGCAAGAACAATCTCGTAGTTGACAACGGTATCACAGCCGAAGCCAACCTGGTTACCGTAGAAGTTGATACCGCCAGCGAGGAGCAATCCAGGCACACCGACAGGGCCGAGACGACCACCGGCAGCAGTCAGTTCGAACTTCTGCAGGTATTCGTAGACATCACTCCACCTAAACAGAGGTAAGTAAAGACCATTACCGATGCAAACAGAACGAAACAAAGAGCTAACCGGTGAGAAGGACCAATGGACACAGTGGACTGATCCTTCGATAATTCCAAAGTAGTCAAGTTCGACATAACAATCAAGACACCATCATTGATATTATTGGAGCCCTGTGATCGTCAAAACGGGGTCAATCCAACATATTAGTGCAATTAGTAACTTGAAGATCAAAAACCCACCCGAATACCCATGTGTCCACCGCCCCGAACAGCGAACTGAGCATTGGCATTGGCCAGCGCCACGATACCCTCCGCAAGCTGTGCGCTGGACTGCGGTCGGAACACACAGCCAGGAGCCATCAGCTCCGTGTTCGACCAAAAGTTCGCCGCTTCGTACTTGTAGATACTGCTGCTGGTGAAGAACAACGAATCCCCAAGGGGCGTTTGCAGCGCCTTGCAGCCTGCGGAGACATTGGGCGATACATCAGCGGCTGTCGATGCTGCGACTACGCCAACCAGCGAGAGCATGGCTAATGCCATGCGCATGGTGAATGAGTATACCTAGGTAGTATACAACTTTGGAAGCCTGGTCGACGGAGAGCGGAGTGAAGCGAAAGTGACAGAAGTCTTGGCTATTCGCTGCCGGGGTGTTACAGGATTTGGGCCTAATTCTGAAAGGCCCTGAAGCTACTCCAGTTTCTCTAGCTTCTCTAGCTCGTTCTATAGCCGGTTTAGATTGGATTGTTTTCGGTGGGGGTTTTATTTCATCCACTTGGCGTATAGAGTGGAACCATTGTGCCGAAATTGTGACGGACGATTCAGCTGTTGTAGGGTATGTAGAGTGATAGGCATAAGATTGCCCCCAACGAAATTATAGAACCTGAACATGATTGGATTGGCATATGACTAAGCATATAGTTGGAATAATAATGCTACAATAATCAACAATTATTTGTTTACGTGGGGTGTTATAGGGTATCTATCTCCACTGTCTCTTTCGCCCATCTCACAACCTCATCCCATTCCTCACTTTGGTGCGTAAGATGCTCAGCAAGGCTTTGTACTATTGTCTTTCCCGCCACTTTAACCCACCACATCCCCTCGAGACGTCCCAGCAGAGCTCCCCAGCAAATGTATATAAGTAATGCTAAAGGCTCTTCGCTTTGAACTCGTTCGACAAAACCTCCTCCAGCCATAACTATCCACGGAATCACCATTCCTTCGGCTAGAGCACAATGCTCAAGTGTATCGATAGCGTGTCCATGGATCTTCTGAGATGGACCGTCGATACCACAGCCAAGCTTCCTTAACACTGGAGGGAGGGCGCCATCTTCTGAAAACAAGAACGTTGGATCTGCTCCGGACCAGGGTTGGATGATAAAATGGAATGGCCCTTCATCAAGTGACGGGCGGGCCTGGTCAATGATCGAATGAATCCCTTCCACCAAATGGAAAAGGGATTTTAGATCAGGGGGCACTCTCACTCTGGTCGCTAGCTTGTCATCGGTGTTGCTTTCCAGTGACGGGGAAATAACAGTACAAACCATCATTATCACCGAACACGCAAAAAGCGCATCGCAGTTTATTGGTGATCCATTTTCTCGTTCTATACGAAAGGCAGGCAATGATCTGCTCTGGTATTGTAGAGCATCACCCAGAAATTCTGCCTTTTCTGAACTATGCATAGGGAGTTCAGCCGCCATATGGAATGACGTAAGGGCTAGCAGTGCGTCCATCAGGAATGGGCAATGCAGTGCTTGTTCTACCACGTATGTTTGGAAAACTTCTCTTAGTATTGGCGAGAAGCTACTGCATGTTTTCAGTGTCCAATGATGCATCAGTTGCAATTCCCGTGTGCGTGAAGCCGATGGCGTGCTTGGAGTATTCTGAGCAAATTCAGGATGCGGCTTTTGATGTGAGTTTTCAGGCACCGTCTTCTGTAGCTGCCTACTTACTGATGGATGCCTTTCTTCGTATATCCCAGTCCAGCTGGAAAGTCGAAAGGCGTTACTGTTGTATTCACACACTGCATTTCGAGCTTTGCAAGTCGGACAAGGAGGTGCACTTTGACACATTTTATCCGTCATTTCTTACATCGGTTGCAGCCATCCCGGGATTTCGTGTGAGGGCGTCTCTGAGGCATGTCATGAGTTTATGAATTCTGCGCCAACATGAGGTTGAAGAGAAAGTAAATAAGCATTCCAAGGCAAAATATTAATCCGTTGCTATCTCACAGGCGGTGAGGTTGTCTGTCTCTCATATTTCTTTGAAGATCCTCCCGCATTCCTCATTTGTTACATATGTATGGCATCTTTCCCACCGCTTTCCCTTCAACCGCCTCATCCAAAACCCATCTCGCAACACTAGCTCGGATAATCCATGTGTTATCCACTCCACTACCCAAGTATGTTGCATTAACCGGTGCCTCCTTTCCGTTTGTAAGCCCGCCGACTCGGAATAATCCCCATTGGAGGCCATCTGTGTCGGGTAAGGAAGAAATCGCTTCTCCAACACCTACCATCTCCTGATATTGGCCAGGACTGAACAGCTTCATGAACCATTTTCCTGCCCACCACGTCGATGTTATAATATCAGATTCGTCTCTGAAAGATGGAGTGCAAAGAATGAGAATACGGGGTATGTTTTGGGAGGCGAGCTTTGGAATGAGGAGTTTGTAGGCATCTGTCAAAGGCTAGGTAATCTGTCAGTATCCAATCAAATGCTGAAAAGATTGTAGAATGGGCTCATACTGTGCCCTGTGCTCTAAATGCTGGCCCTGCAAAAGAGATGATGTCTGCTCCACATTTTGCGGCTACTTCCAGGTCCAAATCGGCCTCAAGCGTGCCTACAATAATCTCTGTTCCTTCACTCAGGCGGAGGTGTTCGGGAACTTTGCTGGCATTTCGGACAAATAGTGTAAGATGATGCCCTTCATTAAGAGCGATATCACAGAATAGACAGCCGATAGCACCTAGGTCACATCCAAGTTAGAGATTCTGCATCAGATCGAAGGACAGAGCCATGTATACCAGAAGCCCCTAGAACAAGAATGTGCATTTTCCGAAATTCTGCAGGTGCTTGAGCTTTGAGTCGGAGATTTGGAAGAAAGTCTCTGGTGAGGGCATTTTATATTTTATACTGCGCAAGCAGTGGACTATAGATGATGCCAAGCATTGGCCCCACCAGAATACGCATCTCGTTTGCCAAAAACGGCAATTTAAACGCAGTCTCCTAGTGTGGCAGATCTTTGAACACCAGGTCAATCAACCCCCTGGTAAGGAAGGAGGTTCGACGTCAAGTCCAGCCACTGCTAGATACCAACTTCGAACGTGTTGTCTGCAATGAAGGTCAATGTGTGAAGGCTATATCCCCCGCCAGCACCGGAGTGTGTCTGCCACACAATGCTATCTGGATTATCACTGCAACTCCAATGCAGAATAAGCCCTATGGTCTCAGGAGAAGGATGTTCCAGCCCTGGCTACCCAGCGACCGTGCTACCTCCTAAGCCCAACAGGACTCTCCTCGGTTGCCACAAAGACTCACCTTTGTCCGGTGGAGAGACATTAGGTCCTGCCAATCATCATTCGTCTAAATTGCCTGTGCAGGGAGATGGGCGAGAGAATGGTCGGTTATACCGGAGCTACAATGAAGACGGTCGATCTGCGATACTCGCCACAGGCCCAGCACAAGCACGACAAGATCTATCACTTACTGCACATACGCAGTCCTATAGGCGCCAGCGTCCAACCCCCTCCATTTTACTAATTATTCATGCCTTAATATCCTATTCTGGCCCGGACGCTTGCATTAAGACCGGTAAAAGAATCAAAATAATAACTATTACAGTTGCCTGAAATAAAGTACCAGGTACTATAGTTCTACCAACTGCGTAACATTAATTATTGATATCAGCAATCATAAGGACTATGCTATATCGGCACCGCCACCGATGTTGCAGTTGGACCAGTCCTTCCAATGACAGATCGAGTAAAACTAGACCTTGTAGGCCAGAATGTACCGATCTCCATCATACTCGGTGACAGTATAGTACTCTTTGCGAACAGGATTGAAGCTCAGATCCTCATTTCCAGCCATGAACCACCCCTTGTGCTCTGTCGCTGTCTTCCCTTGTTCCCAAATAAAAAGATCGCCTTCCTTGGGAGCTCTGCCCGTACTGCGCGAGATGTAAAACTTGCCATCGTATGAAACACCACCCTGTACATTGGGTACATCGACACAGTGGGCCCAGCTTGCGGTAGCGATGCCCTTACCGTCGGTGTGCAGGCGCCGGGTCGTAGCATCTAGATTGTATTTCACATAGCGGATAGGGACTGGCGTCTTGTTGGCATCCTTGAAAGTTTCTCCATCACGCACAAACTCACCCACCATGAGAGTGTCGGGTGAGTCGCTGCGATCAAGGGAAATCCAAGAGAAGCGGAAGGGAGAAGAGTCGCCGGGAGTCCATTTATACCAACTTGGAAAGCTATCAGTCTTTGGTCAAAAGGAAAATAATAAATAGACTAGACTTACCGGATTTGAGGGAGCACATATCGGTACCCATCCGCAGAATATCCTTTTCCATCTTTGGTCTTTCCCACACCATCTGCAATCTCAACCTCCCAGATATTGTCCAGGTCAAATGCACGAATACCATTCTTGGTATCAACAACATACAGCACATTACCATACCACATGATGCCACCCGCATGAATAGTGAGGGATTTGAAGTCATCGTCGGCAGTAGGATATACAAGCATCACATGGCGATACTTGTGTGTTTTGCGGTCAACAAAGCTGAGCCGTACACTGTCTCCATCGCGATACCAACTGACAACCCACGCCTCGTGGTCATTCCAGGTTCCCTTGCCGAAAGCATCGGCAGAGCTGGTGATTCCTTGCGGAACCCACTCCTTCGTCTTGTCATCGCCCGAGTTCCAAGCCCATGCTTCGGCGGGAGACCCATTACCGACAGGAGGAGAACCTTTGCTTAAGGCACGATTTGCGGACTGAAGAACCGCAGTGACACTCGCAATTTTACCCTTTGACTTGAAGTACTTTGCGAGCACAGGTAGGTGAGCATTGTCCGCGGATTCTTCGAGGGTGAAGTCTTTGCCGTCAAGGGTCGTCTTTCCCTGGCAATAACGAGGGTCTGCTGCGGTGGTGACGGTGAAGCAAAGAGAAAGAAGAGTAGTCAAGACTAATGTATACCGCATGATGGGACTTGGGTTTTCTTTTGACCAGCAAGCTTGAGTGAGTCCAGTTCCCAGGGAGGATACAATTTATAGCGTAGTCCACTACTTTGATCCGGCGAGAGTCAAGACGATTAGCGGCAGATGAAGTGTACCCGAAGAGCCTTTGCTTTATACACACATCCGTAAAGGGGCCTTTCCCGTCGCATCAGTCGTCTTAGAATGTGATCGTCATAAAATACGAGACTTAGTCCAGTTAGCGTAGTGTTGGGAGTCACATAACTTCAGTTATTTACTAACATTTAGTCTCGGTTCTGTAGATCGTTTCTTCCTCTCCTTAACGCAATACAGAGAGTTTCCAGGGTACTACTTCTACCTTATACAACATAGTCCCTGGGCGTCTCTACGCAGTCAAGCCCCTTCTACATGAAAAATAACTTTTCAAGCAAAGGCGGGTAAATACGCGGAATGAAATGTTAAGAGGAATTTTGGGGTAGGCTCGTATTATGTGGGACACTGGATGGTCTTTCCACGGTCAAACACGAACACCAGAGTTGCGTCTTGATCCGCCTTCTCCACTATTGCAAGTTGGCTTTCAGGAGATCAGATGCAGCAAAGTCGGGATGCTCTTTTCAAGTTATTTCCTATCAAGAGCTATCGGGGGTTCGATACTGTTAGTCTAGTACACACTATGTTGTAGTCTCCTGCACAAGGTATGCTTTTTACCGTTTTCATATATACCTAGAAAGACATCCAAAAAAGAAACAAGGCCGCACAAGCGGTTAAATATACTTGTATGAACTGACAACATCATTCATCATTGCCTGATTGCTGGTTAATTAGATTTCCCATCGGATCTGCGTTATACGAGATACGTCCCGTTTTATCCCTGTCACTATACCGAGGTTGCAAAGAATGAAGAACTCGTATTGCACAGCCCTTGCCTGCCAAACCCTATCCCGCCCTTGATGCTAGCCCCGATCTCTGAATCTAAGAATAGCTTCATTCTAATTCTCCACGAAAATTAGTTGAATCTCGCTCGAGTTGATATAAAATAAAAAATAAAATAAAATAAAAGAAATAAAAATAAAAGAAAAAAGAGAGCATCACATTGGCCTGTATACTATAGGGGTTGTTGATCCCAACCCAAATCAGGAATAGTTGTCCCCATCTTGGTCCGTGTTATTGACAGAGTACGCGATGGCATACGAGCTTTACGAGCATGGTTTCCCTAATAGTTGTATGGTGAAGCAATTCCCCAATTATGTTGATAATATCATCCCGTAGAAGCTTGAAGATATAAATCCATAAAGTCCCTTCTTGTCTAATTTTCTTTCCAATGACTTACTCCTTGGTGGTGTAACCAACACCTATTATCACCACAATCATGCATTTTAAAAGTACTCTCCTCTCTCTCTCCATTGCAGCTCCCTTCGCAACAGCCTACCATCTGGCTGTTACCGACCAGCACTCCAAGTCCGTTCGCGTCTTCCCACGAGATGCTTCCAAATGGAACAAAGACGCCATTCACTGGTCTTTCACTGCCGACCTGAACCCATGGCCCTGGCAAAAGGACGTTTGGGCCGACCTTTCTGAAGTCAAAATCCGCAAAACAGCTGACCGGGGCCTGGTTGCCCTGGTCGCCGCGTCCGGGGGCAAAGTTGGCATGATCGATATCAAATCTGGGCAGAAGTCCACGACGATAGACGACGTCGTCTGGTCAGCAACACCCGATGGCAATCCGCATTCCCTCGAACGAATCCCTTATTTGGGAGCATTTGTTGCCGCAAGCTCAGCCTCCCATAAGCTGACACTGTATGTTCCAACCGATGTGTCAGATATCAATAGTCTGAAAAATATCAAGAAGAGCCATGAATATACTGTTCAAAAGGCTCATGGGGTGCTCTGGCATGGTGGCAAGTTGTGGGCCATCGGGGAGGATTACCTTCACAAATTTGATGTGGTGGGAAAAGGAATGGCCATCGAGCTAGAGAGGGATGGAAAAGCAATCCCTTTGCCTAAGGTGAAAGGCAGGGCGAGCAACGGCCACGATCTTTCTGCCAGTTACAAGGATGATGACATCTTGCTGTTGACACATACCGCTGCTGCATATAAGTACAACACAACCAGTGGGGAATTTGATGTTCTCATGGAGGTCGATAAACTGAAGTCTCTGGTTCAGCATTCTTCTGGAGAGTATGCCTGGGTGCGCGGGGCAAAGGGTGATATGGGACAATATGTGTCGTTTAGTGATGAGAGCGCATCCAAGACCGTGACGGATAAGAAAGGGTGGGATGATGCTGAATTCTACAAGGCGAGGATCTTTGACCCTGGGTATGAATGATCCCTGGGTTGGAATCGACTTGATGTATATATCTAAGGCTGAAGCAAAGTCGTATATAGGACTTTTTTTTTTCTTGACATGTATCATACAATTTTGCCTTGACATTACATCATGTTCTATCCAATGTAAATTCAATACTTCACAGGGATTGAAGCTATATAAGACAGCAGTAGTGAAGTCATAGAGAACGAACCTCATCTGTATGTTAAGTAGTAGACTCCCATGAGCGACGAAACCGCCATTGGCTGATAGATGCGTCGTCAAGTAAAGGATAGCCGGCAGGCGAACCTTTAGGCTCTGTGCTGTTCAGGGGCACCTCGATGATCATTACTCCAGATGCAGTCTGATAGACTAACACGATGTTTTTCTGTTGAAGCATCAAATGATCTTTTTCCAATTCGATATGCTCACAATTCATAGCCGGGATTCTTTTTCCAATCCCAAACTAGGGGCACATGAATAAATGAATACCCAGATACGATACACACTAAACCCCACCCGGTCAGAAAAGAAACCCAGAAAGC